TATTGCTTAATTAATCACCACTATGTTATTATAAGCAATTTACAAATCACAGCAATGCGACAATTTTGTAATCGCTCTATTTTTATGTAGTCAGTTTTGTGCACTTATGGGAGAAATGCTATCACGGAAGCTTTCCTAAGTCTCCCCAAAGCTCGCCCGCTGATTGGTCTATGCCAACCAATCAGATCGTCTGCACATGAAGAATAATTCTTCCCGCGCAGCGATCAGGAGCCTACAGTCACTTATTTAAGCAAGAATTTTCTAACACTTTTTAGTGAGAATTCAGCTGCCAAACGAATCGACAGTTGAAACAATGCGCCAACTTTCTCACTCACACACAACACTCACATGATGAAAATACCTTGTATACACACACATAATCTTTTCTAACCCGGCAAATCTTTTAAGGGCAGTCAATATAAGTGTCTCTCATGAACATTATTCCAGTGAACTTTCAAATACTAAAATAACAGTTAAAGAGAGAGAATTATTGTTTATTAAACATTAAATTATTATTATTAAATGATTTTGTTAAATTAATGTAGAGAAATCCGCCACACATGAATGTTGTCTTTTTATTATTAATTATATTTACTTACATTCTAATTCCATTAATAAAGGACATTACGAAATCAAAGCTAAATACATTTAAAAAATTAAAAGAGACCCAATTAATACTGAAAACTAGAATCTTTACAGCATCTTCAGTTATAAAATCAGTAGTTATTTTCCATGCTATGAAATTTTATTAGATTATAAACAAACAATAACATACGTGTGACAAAGATTTAAACTTACAAAAGTAGAGTCAATTTATATATTTTTATTTGTTTTTTTTTTTTGTGTGTATTTTATTTCTGCTCAAGCCTCCAGTGAAATAGTGTTTCCTTCAGAAAACCTGGTGCGTATCTAAGAAAAATACCGACAACAATATCGACAAAACATTATAATAAGTAAACAAAGTTTCACGCTTTGTATTGAAAAATAACGCCTCAAGTTGAGTAAAAAAAGAAAATTTCGAACAAGAAGAACTTGCGTTAAAAGATAATAAAAAATAACCTAAAAATCAAGAACTGTAACTACCAAGGGGATAACTAAAAAAGACTTTTGCATCTTGGCTCTAAGAAGGAGATGTAACAACAACAAAATCTGTTTGGTAGGCAGAGAACAAAGAGGTTAATGTTTGTTTGGTTGATGCTTTATTTTGGTTAGACAAAACTTGCTCATATATTCGTGTGTTTAAAAAATTCAAACATCAAATAGTGCAGGTAAAAGTACAACAGCATCAATTTCACTAATAATAATAATAATAATAATAATAATAATAATATTAATATTAATAATAATAATAATAATAATAATAATAATAATAATAATAGTGTTAGTAGTGATAGTTAATATTTTAGCGTTTGGAAAGACGTGACAGAATTTTACACTCGACATTGATACATACATATAAATATATATATATATATATATATATATATATATATATATATATATATATATATATATATATATATGCCAATGACATTATTTGGATTAAAAGACAAAAAACAGCCATGTCATACAATTTTGAAATATTATTTTCTTTGCAAAAATGACGTAATTCTGCATTTTTTTTTAACAATAAAACAAGAAAATTTCAATTGATTTATTTGATTGGCTGACTCAGGCGTTCAGCATTGAAACGCTCATTAGGACCGTAAGTTCAATATATCTATTGACATTATTATCAAATAATAAAAATAATAATAATTATTATTATTATTATTATTATTATTTATGTACTAGTCAGTTGAAGTTTTATTGCTTTCTCGAATTGAGCAATATTTGTCAAATTTTCTGCCTGAAGAATTCGCCAAATTCTCAAATTCTCAATTTCTCATATATATATATATATATATATATATATATATATATATATATATATATATATGTTAAGAAATGGACGAGGTCCGACAATTTATTTATTAAAGACATTTTTATTTATGTTTAACGTTGTTATTTTATAGATACAAGTATTTAAGCATATTTATTTATCATAAACAGAGCATTTGCTTAAATACTTGTATCTATAAAATAACAACGTTAAACATAAATAAAAATGTCTTTAATAAATATATATATATATATATGTATATGCAGCAAATTTTCAGTGAAAGATGTTTCACTTAATAATATCGAACTATTATGTGTATTAGTTTCTATATTAATCCATTCCAGTTCTATAATTAGATACCTAGTGTTAAGATACAAATCATCAAAGAAGTATCTGTTTTTTTTTGTTTTTTTTCGAACTTTTGGGTTTACGATCTTTTCTAAGATCATATGCAGGGGTAAATCTTAACAAAAATAAACTGAATAGAGAACAGGAAATGATCAGTATAAAAATTATAAATAAATATAAATGATGTATCTATATTATTCAATGAAACATATATATATATATATATATATATATATATATGTGTGTGTGTGTGTGTTTATATGTATATAT